TCATCATCATCAGGGCACCGACGGGTCTTGGAGTTTGCCAAACAAGCTTTTCGCACAGACTTAAAGAAAAAAGGGGTAACAGAAAACCTTAAAATAAAATTTGGGTTTTCGAACCACTTTAAGATCAGATTTTCTGAAGTTTTTTTGAGAGGTTGCCCATTGATTTTCTAGAGATTTCTGAATTACAAATAGATGCGAGTTATAGGGGAGTCTTATTCATCTTTCACTGATATTTTCTCCCAGTGCATGCATACAAACATTGCATTTATATCGCCCCGACAATGTCGATGCGACTGGCTGGCTGGTTAATAGTTCCGCAAACAGCAGACTCGCTGGCCAAAAACGAAAGTTGCAACTTGACTGGGCGGCAGATGAGTCAGCGAAGTGCAGCCGGAACTGGCGCCTCAGTCGTGGCCATTATGTGGCAATTATGTTATGCTAGCAACCCCTACATGATTGTTGGGGGGAGCAAAAATACTTCGGTTTTGGGGAGGGGAAAACCAACCCCAGGCGTTTGACGCCAGTCGCACGCCATTACGTCGTCCGGCCACCACAAGTTTGCTTTTTAACAACTCCATGGAATAACCAAAACTTCTCGTTCCCCCATCAAAAACAAATCGTTATTCAATGCTGCCTCCCTCGTAGCGAAACAAACTTTGCCCCATGTTTGTTGTCAACAAATATCAGGTCTAATTTCTATGCTGCGTGCAGTTTGGTCGATTTAAAGAGTTCGCAGCTGCAGAAGTTTGGAAATCACTGAGCTTACATGCCCGGCAACTTATGGCACTGACTAGCAGATAAACAGATACAAAACTATCTACAAGTTGTCCCCGTCAAGAGACAGCTACAAGATGTGTGTGTGTGTTGTCTGCGCCTGCCTGCCTGCAATTTGTGCAGCTTTTGTCGCAATGTCAAGAAACTTTTGTGGCTCAATCCCCCTCTGGAAACCCCCACGCAGAGGACAAACATTTAAGTTGTTTTGGCATTTTATGTGCATAGCATTTAGGGATCAAGACATCCAGAATTTATGCCCAGTTATAGTTGTAAATATTAAAGGCATTTGCGACCCTGTACTTGGCTCACATTTGGGTCTCCATTTATCATGTGGAACGAAGCTGTTTTCCCCCCAAAAACTGCCACATGATAGCCCAACCGTATCGCATTGTTTCAGTTTGCTAGTCGAGATTATCTAAAGTCAGTTTCAAACTTTAGTTTTGCATTTAAGTTGGTAGAGTTAGATTTTGGCTAAGGGAAAGGGATGGGAAATGGGATTGGGACTACAATATATGAAAAGAAATCTAGAAAAATTCGAAAATATAATATATTGATAAGATTACTTTGAATACCTAATGATAATGTAATTTCCTAACTTTAAATAGAATTATAAAAATATTTCTTCAATTTGCTTTGATATTTCTTCTTTTTCCCTGTGTACCTCCCTTGAAGCCTCCCATTTTTCAACCTCCTTCCTCAGAGTGTACGTGCGTGTGGCAATTATGCATTGAGGGAAAACTTTCTAGACACTTGAGAACTCCGGCCACAGGTCAATGCAGCTCAATTAAAAGGCATGTCCAAAGGCTTTTGTGTCGGTGTGTGTAGAGCAGCCAATTGACTTTAAGTGAAAGAACTGCCAGCCTTTGGGGTGAAATGGTAACTATACTCCAAAGGCCAAGGGGGTGGTTAAAAAAGAAAATAATAAAAAAAAAAACAGCAGGAAAATAACTCTGGCGCCGTCTCTCGAATAACATTACCAAAACTACGCACCCTCCCCCCCATTTGCAACAAGTTTAATGGGGAATTTCAATCAAGCGCTGGCTTTTGCATGCCATTCGTTAAGTATCTTCAAGTGCTCCAAGCTCGGGCCATGTGCATTCGCTAGATACATTTGATGTGGCCACTGCACTCGCTTGTTTGCCTGCTTCAGTCTACTCTTCTTCACCCCCTTCAAGTTCCGCCCACTTCAAAGTGATATCTTATCGGCTTATCTGGAATGCCAGAGACGAAAACACAGACGTCCGATTGTTGTTGTTGACGTTCTGTTTGACTGCCATAAAGATACTTGAATTGAACTTATTGTAATTAATACGACTACGAGTACGATTCGCCGCAGTATTTTCAATGCCATCGAATGGGAAATGTATCTACGGCCCCGTCTGCCAGAACAATTCTAGCGATTTTAGCATGCCTTCTGCGGTTTATCAATACAATGGTAAAAGAAAAAGGGGGGAAAAACACATCTGTGTATATGTGAAGCCCCAGCAAAGCTGTCATATGTGAGTATGTGCGGAAAAGCGTTGGGAAACCCACCCGGAAGTTCAGACCTAATGCGTTTTTGTACGGGGCGTGTGCAGTAGATTTGACAGGCTAACAGCAAAGATACAAAGATACATTAAAACCAATTCCATATCCATTAGCTGAAAGTTTAGGGTGGCCGCAGACGCCCTTAAGTGTTTTCAATTAATAACCAAACTCACAGTTGGCCAAAAATGTTTCTACAGAAAACATTTTGATGACAGCCTACTGGACAAAGTGATTGGGTTTACCCCGCCCTTAAGGTCTAACAAATTTGGCATCTCCGCATGACAAACTACAAGCATTCATAAAGTAATAATAAAAAATGGAAAATACTTCTCCAGGAAATGCAAATCTTAAGTACAATAATTAGGTCTTCATTGCTTGGTAGTTTAAAGTGATAAAAATGATAATTGAAAAGATATTTTCCTATAAATGAGTATTTTTCGGGCAAGGCAAACTAAGTAAATATTCAAATTTAAAAGCCTGTTTATAAGTTATTATACTTTTATGGAAATTGCAAAAACAATTAAAAAAAAAACAATAATTAACCATGTGCCAAAATCATTAAAAAGTTTATGATTCAATTTTTAAAAAGGTACAAATTAGACACTTAAAAGCAAAGTTTAAAGTGTTAAGCATATATTTTTACAGTAAACCTAACTAAGCTATCTATCTTTAGTTAACTAACTAGTTAATTGGTTAAGCAGCCATCATCATTGATAGAGAATTTTCCTTATTACCTCCTTATACTAACAGCTTAAGATCTCAACGTCATCGTCTTAATCAATTTTCTTCAATCTTAAACGAGTGAATTGTTTGCCTGCTCCCAATAATAATAATCTAATTTCAATCCATCAACACTATATTGCAATTCCATCCATCAACACCATATAGAATCGATTCCAACTGGAAAGACCAAACGACTGGTCGACTGGTCGACTGGTCGACCCATTTCTAGACACTTATTAAATCAACAACAATCCTCCTTCTCTCGATGAGCTCTTGCCACCATAACTCAGGTTTCTTGCTGCTGTTATTTTCCTGCTGCCGTTCGATACATTGCGCAAATATTACAAAGTCAAAGTCCAATAAAAAATGAGAAATAAAAAAAAGAGTATGAGGAGAGCAAGAACTCGTAGAAGTCCGGGGTCCAAAAGGCGACTCTCATCTTCCACTTGGCTTCGAGTTCTTTTACCCAGAATTTTGCTTTGCTTTTTTGCTGCTGTCTGCATGGTTTGTAATTTTTATTGCCATTTCGCTAAATTGTTGTCAATTGACTTGAGATTGGCGCAAGTTTTGGAGCATGTGTAGTTTGCCAGTTTTTTTTTTTTATCTTTTTTACTAGCTTTTTTTAACTGCTGGCAAAGTTTACTGTTTGATTACAAACTATTGAAGGCGAACTTAAAGGAACTAATAAATCTTTAAACAGTTTGAAAGGCTTTTTAGCAAGCTTAATGGATTTTTTAGTAAATTTAACCCTTGATTTCTCAGTTAATTTATAGAAAATATATAACGTTTCTTTTGTTTCCTAAGAAATCAAATCTTAAATTGCTTAAATGTTAAGCATTGTGAAGAAATCATCGACGATTCGCTGAAATTTTGATTGGCATTCCCGCCGCCCATTAAATTTTGTTTTGCAAGCAGCAAAACTGCGGCGCAAAAAGCTTCTTGTTTGCCACAAAAATAGATGGGTATCTTGATAAATAAATAAATAATACTAAAGTAAGCTAGATAGCTGGCGATGCAATGGGCAACCGAGACTTTTGTTTAGACGTGACAAAGGCCGCAGGAAAACCAAACACTGGCCGAGAATTCTATGCCAAAATCACGAAACAAAACAGCATATTTTTTTTTTGGGTCATCGTTTGTCGTTTTTGGCAGTGACCATCTGTCCATTTGCAACATGTCGCATGTGGCTAAAACATAGAATTTTTTAAACTAACTATTTGTTTAGAATATTAGCTTGGTTTGAAGTTCCGCCGCGTTCTTTTGTGTCTCTCGAAATGCTAATTTGCTGTCAGCACCCGTAAATATTCGCAATTTGTTGACCCTTCTTCAGGCTCGTGTGATAGATATTGTTGTTGTTGTTCTAATATTGTGCCCGCTGGGTTAATAAACTTGTTGCCGCACGACACGGCTCATAAATAAACACTTCTATTGATTTAGTACATCGGCCATTGGACCGGCCATACAAAGCCAATAAGAATCGGTGTTCTCCTTCGTTTTTGGCGAGTGTTTACATGACTCTTAAGCTGCTTAAATGCTGGCTTTTCCACAGAAATGCTTAATATTTATTTTGATTATACAAATACTTAATATTATATACGAGTATGTATATATAGAAGAACATTCGAACAATGGGGCAGTCAACAAAAGACGTCAGTGGGCGGAGCTTCGGGGTCTCCGAGCTCCAAATGATTATTATTGTGGTTGACTCCTCAATGGCAATCATAAATAAATGAATGTATACACCCGAAGAAAAGACTCAATTATCTGGAGAGCTTAAACAGGAAGTTGGGTGAATGTGAAGATACAAAAATCTATATTCTACTTTCTGTACGAGTATATCTAACCTTGTTCTTAATTATACTCCCATTTTCTCCCAGTGCCCTGTCTTTTGTTAATTCATTGGATTTCTGAATTGGGTGCGTCGAGTGTTTCGGATATCTTATGGGTTTTTTTAAGGTGTTGGCCGGGACACTCACATGATTCAGGCGTGCTGCGATCTTGGCATGCTCCTCCTGGTAGGCCTTTCGAGCCTTTCGCTTATCCTGTGAAAGATGGGTCAACTTATCGCAGACGACCTCCAGCTGCTCGGCGTTGAACTTGAACTGTTTGGCCTGCTGGTCCAGTTCATCCAAGTAGGATCGCCAGGATTTGGTGATCAGGCTGCCTGTAATAAGGGAAAAAATGGAAACTTTTTAGTAAAAATGTAATTTACGTTGGTTTAAGTCTAAGATATGCCTTTAAAAGGCCTTAAAACTTTCAAAAAATATGACTTAAGACTTTCATAACCAAATAAGATGAATATTTATTGTACTAATTAAAAGTGTTACAAGGCTAATCTCTTCTAAATCTTAGCCCCATTTTCCTCTAAATCTACGTGCTAAAAACAAGTTATCAAACGCCTAGTCATAGGACAAACTAATTTTAAGATTAGACACAGACTTTAAGCCCATAAAACCGCAGCTAATCCACAATTTACCCAGACTATGACTCACTGGAGTTTTATCCACTGAACAGATGGGTAAAAGTGCAATTGAAAACTGCAGGCAATGAATCATTATTCTTACCTCAAAGTGAGGCAAAGACATTCAACAGATTTTTTGTTAAATTATTTGCTAAGCTAATGAGAAACATAATACCTCTGACTGTCTGTTGTTTTTTTTTTGGCCAAAAACGTTTACGCTTGGCTAAGCTGTGAAGTTTGAAGTTAAGACTACAAATCGAGTGATTCAAGTTCATGGTCAAGGTGAGAGATCGGATATATATATATAGTTGAACTATATCAAATGGCCTGAACTAAATCATTCGGCTACGCTTTTGTGCACTGGCTGTGTGCGTTTGTTTTTCTCGCATCCAGCGGATACGTTTGTTTGGCCATGTAAACAGCAACGAAAACATTTCCCAAGTGAAAAACGAAAAATGAAAAAAATGAAAAACGAGAAAAACACCGACACTGACTGCAAATTATAGCAATTTCGTGTTCTCTGTTCTAGGGGAGCAACCAGAGACAGCTGCACTTTGTCGACACTTTGATGAGCTCCATGGCTTGGCCAGTCCAATTTGCTCGACAGTATCCTGGCTATATTGGCCGCCGCCGGATGAGATGAGATGGTAGATGGGAGATGGGATGCCACCCAGAGCACGGTAGTTGAAAACGATTTGCTTGTCTGGCGATTATCTCAAGTCGTTTAAAATAAAACCTAACGCGTATTATTCACTTGGAAATGCGATCTAGTCACGCGATAGCCACTGGCCAGTTGCCTTTGCGCTCTCAGCAGGCTGCCAAAAAAATGTTTTAGTAAGGACTGTTCACCCTTACAATAAGATATATTTTGATTTATCCCATAAACGCCCTCTTTCTTATACTCGTATATATACCCGTATAGAGACTATTAACACTGTCATCGTACTATCCAACCACCAGCTTATCGACACTTGCCTTATAAATGACGGACATTTACCCTGACTAATGGATGATATGCCTGCGAATGCTGTAACCGCACTGGCCACCCGTCCAAACTGGTGAGTAATGTCCAAGGGGTCAGTGAAGTTCGAACATCTTACTATAATACTCGATCCATTTAGCTGTAATTGTTTTGGTTTTCGAACATATGTTGGATTGTAAGGCATTTTTTGGGAAAGCCAACACGTTTTGGTATTGATTTTGTTAACAGTTTTTGCTAATTTTTGTTTTTTATCTAAGCAAGTTGTTATTTGTAGAAAAATTAACTTATTTTTTTAATTAAAAATACTTTTTAAAAAAGTTACAACTTTAAATAAAAACACTTTAGAAGGTATTTTAAGAATTAAATAAAAATAAAATGAAAATCCAATAACATTCCATTAAATATTTTTATCTTTTAAGGTTTGTAAAAACTGCAAGTTGTTTTTATTTGAGTATTTACACATTTATTAAATAATGATAACTTAATCTTGTTATAGTTAGTTTAGTTTCCAAAGACAATCGCCATGGAAAAAACGTTTAATCAGGCAACTAATTATTATAACCATTTAGCAATTCAAGCACTCTAAACCTAATCAGTTTTCAGATACTTTTGCAACCTAATTTACTTTTAATAACCCTTTATTTTTTTTGATAACCAACTGCTTAATCTCACAGAAACCTAAATAACAAGAATAATAGCACGAGGACGGCGCACTTCCACCGATATCACTAACCAAATATTCTTATCAGATTTTGCAATTGCAATTCTCAAAACGCTTTCCTTACCTTGCATTTCGTCAGCTCGATCGATTTTGAGACCCTGCTGGGCCACAGCTGTCAGGCTGATTGCGTATTCCTTGTCGCATTTGGCCTTCATCTGGATGGATCTCTTCATGGTCTCCATTAGCCGAAGTTCGGCATCCTGGCGTACGATCAACGCCTCATGGGCGGCCCGACTTTGCAGGGCCGATGAGAAGCCCATTTTGCTCTCGATACTCCCTATTTGGGTCCCGGCTCTCTGTGAGATATATACATATATATATATATAGTATATATAGGGAAATGAATCAGAATTGGTGTTATCTTCCAGTCCGGACTTAAAGTAAGTATGGGGGAGAGCGGATTGCAGGGGGGGCGGGGAAAATTACACACAAGAAAAAAAAAACACAGCGGACATGTGGTAAACACTTGTTGCATGGTTATTTGGAAATTTTGCTGGCGTTGCGCTTTATCGCCTCACTGAAATTAATTATTTATGTCACACATACACTCTTTTTTTTTTTCTTCCAAAATAAACTTTCACATGCGTTGACATTTCTTCGTTCATATTTTTTTTCCGCTTTGCCTGCATATGTCACGACATTTTGCTAATTACACACGATCTCGTCCCGGCTTTTGATTAACGACTTAATTCGAGTCACTGGCATATACTTTATTTTCTTTATCCGCTAATTAACGCATTTTCCGCTCTCACCCAACAACACCCGACACTTGCACATAAATGTGTATATTTTATTTTTTATTTTCTTTTTGTTTTTTTGTTGGTATTTTGAATGCAACAGTTGTCTTCACTTGAACTTTTCCCCAAGTATTTTCCGAAAAGCAAAGCGAGCTAAGAGCTGCGGCGCAGTAACTCCGTGCTCCTGCTGCTGCTGTGGTTGTTGTTTTGGTTTTCAAAGAAAAAAACTTGTTTTTCCCGCTTGCTGGGCGAGCAAACAAAAATAAACATTGCCCCAAGGAGTGAGTGGAGGGAGGGGGGCAGGGGGCAGCAGGCAGGGGCGAAGTCAATAAGGAAACACAGCGACAGAAGGTGTGTGCGGCAAGTACGTGTATCTTAAAGGTACACGAGGAAAAAGTGAAGTTTTTTATATGATTTTTGTTTGGTAAATAAGGTTAATGAAAGAAAAGTTTTTGTTTTTTAAAGTTTAAGTATACTTTGTAGTATTTTTAGCTTATATTTAGTGAATGAATTTTAAGTTATGACGAATTTGAAGTCATAATATTTGAATGGGAAAACACTTTCTTGAATATATATATCTTTTTAAAGAAGTTTTTCTTATCAAATTTTAAGGCTTATAAGTCTCTTTTTTCACATTTCTGTATAAAAACCTATGTGATCCTCACTATAGCCTTCATTTTTTTTCTCTGCATTTCTTGGATGCGCCAGAACAACAACTTGATGCATTGTCTGTATGTGCGTGTGCAGTTGGCCAAGTCGAGTAAAACATAAACGGGTTAGGCAGCAACTAGGGGAGCATCCCCAGCCACCAGAACCAGAACACCCGAACAACAACAACAACAACTAAAACAGTAAGAACACTACAAGGAGAGTAGTAGCAAACACAACCGTTAGATAAATTAAAAATGTAAATAACATTTTTATAGGTGATCACGGAATAAATATATTATTCTTCTTTTTTGGTAAGGAGGGGAACCACATTTACCGCTAAATTTCTCTGCCGACGGTTTTCACTTGCAATTTGCGTAATCAGAGCACAGTTCTTGGCACAATCATAATTAAAATTGGATCGTTATCGTGTCAAAGGCTTTATCGGCAACGACGAATTAAAATTTTTTCTAATGCCTATTGAGGATGTTGTCTGCACTTCACATGGCCACAGTTCGAGAATCGCGAAACGAGCAGCACGGCAGCGAATATCGGTTCGAATCGAAAAAATCGGGGAATAATAATCAAATCAGACCCAAAAGAAACACAGCGAACCGTTCGCCTCGAATGTTCAGCGGGAACTGAGCGCCGGCATAAAATCAACTGCTCAGGCCGATGCGGCGAATGAGCAATGCGAGTGCGGTGAGAACAAACAGAGAAACTGAGAAAATGAGAGAGAGTGAGTGAGGGAGAGCAGGCAGACCAGAGAACCGGTTGCAATGCACCCAGCAAACATTTTCGTAAGGTAAAAGTCAGCATAAGGCAGTCGATTTAGTAAAGGATTTTCGTGGGGATTAGGTTTGTTTGCTGACTTTTGCCTTTTGTTAGTTTTATTATTGTTTCCCCTCTTTGAAAGTGCAGGCCATTGTTTGGAAAATCGAATATTCCTATTTTAGCTATTAGAAAATGTAACCCTTATAAACACTTCCTTGATAAATACTTCGTGGGCGGTCTTTTAACTTATTATTATTTTATATTTTACTTTAGAAATGAGAATCCTGTTCCAAAATACAAATATTTTTTAAATATCTTAACAATATATTTTTCTTATATTTACATAAAAATGAATATGATATGTTATCAGATATAGCATAATGACAATATGATAACAAATTACTATTCTGTTTTTTATGTAAATATTAAACAGAAACCAAGTTTTCTGTCTCTTTTAAATTGTTGAAAATGCTTCATCCTGAAACAAAGAAACCAATAAAACAATACCAGACCTAAATATCTTCAAAATTTAACCAATAAACTAAAAAGTTTTTCCTTTTCCCTTAACTTTTAACGTTTTTCCCTAATCCATTACCAGACTTAACCATTGGCTTCACTCTGGCCGACAGGAATGACTGTTGTAATCGGAGAATTACCAAATTTCCGCACTATTAATTACACAGGTTTCGGGTCTTTCGTGCGACAGCTGGCAGGATCTAAAGACAAACACACCCAACCACCCACTTGGTCGCTTTGGAAACGGAAGCAGCTGAAATGTAACCAAAACAAAAGCTATGATAAATGTTATGCGTAGATCTACCCTTGACACGTCCTCCTTCCATACACCCCCTCAACTCAAACTCAATTGCAAATTCTCCATTTAATTTTCTCCCCCCTTTCAGTGACTGTCATTTTCACGATAAATGCGAAAATGCATTTTGCGCATCAAATGCAGAAGGGCCAATAAATTCATTAATAAATGGGAAAGTGAAAAGAGCAGTAGCTCCTGCAGCTCCTGGTCTTTGTTGTCCTTGTGGTCAGAGATGGGTTCTGTTCTGCGCATAATGCATATGGTGTTTGCAAAGTCCAACACTGTCAGGAGGTTTACTTCGATGCACAGGAAGAAAACTTAGTAAATGATTGGGAAAATATGAAAATAAAAGAGATTAAAGTATCACAGAAATCTTTAGAATTTTAAAGGATTCTTTAAAAGCTAATCTGATTAAACTATAAAAACAAAAGAGGTAAGGTATTTATAGACTTATTATCAGATTAAATTAGATTTTTGTAAACCAAGTTGTTTAAAAGTTTCTTCTCTCTCATAAAATAAACATTTAAATTTAATAATATTTATTTTATGTGTGGCCAATCCACTCTATAATCCACCTTCCCCCAACCCCGACTGAATAATGGATATTGAAATCGCATCGGTACGTAAAAGAGTGTGAGATATTATACTTTATGCCGATTAATGCTGCCCGCGTTGGAGGACAAAACCCCTGACCATTGATTTGATTGCCGGGCAAATGGTGTGCCACCTCCTTTACCTCTTGGCCATATTTTTTATTTACACCCAGCCAGACAGACGTCTCTTTGGCCAGCCTGTTGCCCATTTTCAGACTCTCGGCGTGCTCTTTGTTCCGCCAGCCATTCATCTCTCCCTGTTGTTGGTGTGTGTGTTGTTTCTTCTGGGTTTTAGGGTGTTTGCCGTTGTCTATGCACCGGATCTGTTTCCCGGGTTTCCCAGTTTTGCTATGTTTATTTTGGTTTGGAGCCAGACGTCGCAGCAACAACAACGAAAAAAAAAGAACATTTACAAAGGCGCCTCAGCCTCATAAAGTATTTAGTGAGACAGCGATAGGGACACCGGGCACCTTCCGGTGTCCTGGACAGGATATCTTCCATCCTTTATTTGCTTATGTAGCCATATTCCTAGAATCCCCTTCTCATCCCACTTGAATAATTAGACCAACTATAAGTAGAGAGACGGCCTAAATAACGATTTCTAATTTAAGCAGACGCATTCTATTGTGACGCATAGTTGCCTCACATAAATCTCTTTATATGTCCCATTAATGTTTGAGTTGCTTTTGCAAGTGCAATTCTTGGTACGAGTAGATATATAGTATTATATATATATATATATGGGGCATCAGTTTCAGCTGCCTTTGAAGATCGGTGGTAAATGGGAGGCAACAGTTGTTGGCGGCCAATTGAGTCTAATGAATAAATTACATATGCACTGTAAAACAGTAAAATTGATGAGAGAAGTTCAAAATGGGCTTGAACTTATCTATATATGTATGCATCTTTGTATCTATGTATCTTTGGGTTTTTATGGCTTGTTGAGCCAGAATGAAAACTCGACAAACAATAGTTGACCGACTTGGAAATTGTGCAATGGTATGACAGCAATAAATGAATGGTTGATGGGTTAGAATGAAGCAACCAAATCAAAACAAAACCATTAAAGATTCTTTGAACAATGGAGTTTTTTGATGCTTATAATCTTGCATCTGAGAGATACATTTGGCAATGCTTAGGGTAACTTGCTTGAGGTAACTTTAGAGTATTTAAACTATCTGCTTGTTAAACGTATTTTAGTTTAGATACTTAAGTTACTCAGATACTTTATGGCTAAATGGAATGGCTACCTGAGTTACCAACCACCTAAGAGCAACACCTTCGAGCTAAAAGAATGCTGCAATGTCAGAAGGGACATTGAAAGCCAGACACCTCCTTGCTGCTCAGATGTTTAGCATTCCAGTCAGAAGTCGGATAGAACCTATTGAGCGAACGACTCCCATGCCAATTTGTTGCTGTGTGCAAGAATTTCATTTATGTCAACAACAACAACACCAGCTACAACAACAACAAAAGCAAGAACAAAAAAGACAATTGCATCAACAATGGAACGGTAAACACGCCCAAGAAAACTGAGGAGCTCATTTATGGAAATTATTAAGTGCAAGCAAGGCAGTGACCAAAGTGGTTACTTCTCCCCGTCAAACGGCATTATTATGCGTACATATTTTTATGGCCAACTGCGGGAATGGGCACACAGACTGGCAGCGCAAGTGTTAATAACCGAAATCTAATTAATTTTTTGGACCCCCTTAATAAAACTATTAAAAGCAGAAAAGTGGTGAAGGAAAACTAGACAGTCCCAACTTTAGATTCTATTTTTGTCATTTCTGCTTAAAAGTTGAAAACGTGCTAGCAAAGGTGTGAAACCACAAGGAGTTCCCTTTGTTAAAGACCTTGAAATATCAGTTTATACATCTGACTTATGTAGCCCTTACAAGACTATATCAATTCTTATTCATATACAAGTTATAACCCCTTTGGCCTTGGTTATTGCAACTTTGATTCTGCGCTTCTGTCAATTGATCTTAATTAATGTTAATTTTAATACATGTGCTCTCTTTATTGTCTGCTTTTTGCCATATATGTATATAAACTATATGTGCTTATGTGGAAATAATTAAGTTCTAGGAAAAGTATGTACTTCTTGAATGAGCTAAACTTTAAAGGGTATTACTAACATGTCAACTTTTTAGATATTTGTAAGAGTTTATTCAATGAATATTAATTATTAAAACTTTTCACACCTCGGCCTATCGTAATTATTGGAGGTAATAGCCACAAAACCGCAAACCACTCTCACAGGATCTATTCCCTATAAAAGGACTTTCTGGGGCTTAGATAGCCACATAACATCTTCAAAATGGAACCAGTGCAGTACAGCTACGAGGATTTCTCTCGCTTTCCCACGTTTGTGTTGTGGATTATGGGCTACGACATGCTGGGCATTTCAAAGACACGAATCCGAAGGATGCTATTCCGCTTATATCGTTTTCTCTGCCTAAGCAGCCACAGTGTCTGCGTGGGATTAATGATATTTCGAATGATCGAGGCCAAAACTATAGATAATGTGTCGCTAATCATGCGCTATGCCACTCTAGTCACCTATGTCATCAATTCAGATACCAAATACGCCACAGTCCTACAGCGTGTTGCCATCCAAAGCCTCTACTCCAAACTGGCCGATCTGTATCCGAAGACCACGCTGGACAGGATTTATCACCGGGTGAATGATCATTATTGGTCAAAACCGTTTGTCTACTTAGTTATAATTTACATTGGATCCTCAATTATGGTTGTCATTGGACCAATTATCACATCAACTATATCGTACTACACACATCATGGCTTTGCCTACATGCACTGTTATCCTTACTTTTTGTTTGATCCTGAAAAGCATTCATTTTGGATCTACATAGTAATCTATACTCTGGAGTGGCTACACAGCACCCAGATGGTCATCTCGAATATTGGCGCAGATATCTGGCTGCTGTACTTCCAGATACAGATTAATCTTCATTTCAGAGGCATTATACGTTCGCTACAGGATCACAGACCTAGTGTGGAGAATGACGAGGAAGATCGAAAATTTCTGTCAAAAATTGTGGACAAGCAAGTGTATCTTGTCAGGTAAGTTAATTAAGGCATTTGCTTAACTAAGTTCTTACGAGAATTAAGACTATAATGTGTTTCTGTAATAGGTTACAAAAAGATCTGAATGGAATTTTTGGAGGATCATTGCTATTGAGCCTGCTGACCACCGCAGCGGTGATCTGTACAGTGGCGGTTTACACCCTGATTCAAGGACCCACTTTGGAGGGCTTTACTTATGTTATTTTTATTGCCACTTCGGTAATGCAGGTGTACTTAGTATGTTATTATGGACAACAGGTCCTAGATTTGGTAGGTTATGATTAAGTCTTAAAGTTATCGTAATAACTTCAATCTTTTGCAGAGTGCCGAGGTGGCCCATGCCGTGTACAATCATGATTTTCATAATGCCTCTATAGCGTACAAGAAGTACCTGCTGATAATTATCATACGGGCACAGCAGCCCGTGGAATTGAGTGCCATGGGTTACCTGCCCATATCACTGGACACCTTTAAACAGGTAAGATATTGTTATACGGCAATTTTTATGATACACATCCTTCATTTTCCTTTAGCTGATGAGCGTGACTTACCGCGTCATAACCATGCTTAGACAGATGATTCAGTAGACCGAAATAAAAACACGAATTTTGCAACATTAAACGCTTTAATCGCACTACGCACTAGTAACTACATAACTAGATCACTTAGGATCCGAGGGCAGTTTGAAGCCCACCAAATCGGCGGTATCCCTTACGGATCTTTCGCCCCTCCCATGGAATTCCTTGTAGAGTTCCAAGTAGTTCCGCTGGCTGGACAAATAAGTCAAGTAAGTCTGTCCCAGGAAAGTAGCTTCATTGCGGGCTTTGCAGACTTGCTGTTCTGTGGTGGCGAACTTCTTGTATTGCGCCAAAACGTAACGTGCAGCTAGAGAGTCCTTGATGCAGCCATTTGGAGATGCCTGTCGCAGTTCGTGTAGCAGGGAACGAAGCACCTTTGTTCCAGACATTCTGAACAATAAATAACAGTTGTACTTAAAATAAAAACGAAGCAATCAGAAGCTTACGTGATTTTCAAGAAAACTCGAAGCGTTTTGCCGAACAGCTGTATTTTGTAGAGTTGCCACACAGTCGCAGTTGTCATATCTACATATAATTACAGTATGCCCTCTATGAAGTGATTTTTTACAATTTAAGTGTGGTAAATTTCTTTAACATTACAATCAATTTGTAGTATCAATAATGAAAAAATGCTCATTAATAAAAATAACCTTAACAAAATTATTTTGTTTTAAACACATTTTTACCCTCTTCATAACCGTTTCATATTTTACTGTATTAATACAAATTTGACAATATTAATAAATGGTGTACATATTTAAATGGTAGCATGATAAAGAAATTAACCATTTTTCCTTATACATCACACACATTGATAACAAAAGCCAATTAGGAAATAGGTACATCCAATAAGAAATCAATCACAAAAATACAATAAGACTAAACAAATAAAACAAAACGAACATCAAATCCAGTTGGAAAACAATTTATTTTAAAAGTTATTTAGCAGTACACCGAACTCGTAGCGTGGGCTGTTCACTTCCTGGGCTTGCCGGCAGCAGGCTTCTGGCCGGGCTTCTTGCCAGCGGGTCCCTTGCCGCCAGCACCACCCTTGGTGACCTTGCCGGCACCGGCCTTGGTGCCCTTGGCTCCGGCAGCGGGCTTCTTCTTGGGATCGGGCTTGGCCTTGGGCACCTTGACGGGCTTGACGAGGGCTTCGCGCTGGCTCTTCAGGGCCTTGACGATCTTCTGCTCCTCGATGAGGAAGGCGCGCACGATGCGCTCACGCAGGCAGCTGTGGCACAAGACTCCTCCGTAGGTCCTGGACACGGTCTTCAGACGCTTGGACATCCTTGGGCGCTCGCTGGGACGGGAGGGGGTAATACCCTTCAACTTCTCCTTGCACTGGCCGCAACGGGGCACGGTTGGGTTCTTCTTCACATACTGGTACACCAGACGTCCACCAGGCGTGCGAACACTATAAATCGGTTAAATAATTATATATTAATCATATCCATTGAGTATTGTAGTCAGGTGTAGTTACATGCGCCGCTTGTTGGAGCGTGTGTTGTAGGACAGGCGTCTCCGGAGCGTCAGACGTTGGACCATTTTGCTGTTGTTGCTGCTGGTCGTAGCAATTCGTTGGTTGCATATGGAAAAGCGTGGAAAATCATAATTAGTTTGTCGTATCACTAAGGTAGGCGCAGTTTTGGCTGCATTTGGTGTTATATTTCATGAGGTATTTCATAAAATGCGGCGAAATTCGCTGAAATTGTAAATTGAACACGTGCATACCTCAAAGAGACGAAACTAGAAAGAAAGGTGGCAACCCCGTTACCGAGCAACTTGAACTTGGCTGCGCTGCTAGCTGTTGGGTACTTCCCAACACTGCCGGTCTTGCCAGATAGTTTTAAAAACAGTGGCTAAGAGGGGTTTTTAAATATTTTTATTATGATTTATCCAATATTTATTTATATTAAAAGGATCGTCCTTCAACGTAACTTTTTTCCAGTAGTTATTTCAGCTTTATAACATAACTACGCTGTCCCGATATCAAATTTGCAGTTGTTATGCGCATTCTCATGTAATTTAAATTATTTGATATATACATTTTCTAATATTATTTGTTGGAAATATATTTAAATTTTAATTCAATTTGTTTAATAGCAAAAATAAGCAAACTAAGGATTCTTTAGAAGTAGAATTTCAACCCCTTTAGCTACGCCCCTGTACCACCTGTTGTTGTTTTGTTTGCGGTGCAAACTGTTATCAAACCGCAAACAGATAACATTTAATTGCAGCAATATGAGAAAAGCCAGCAACAGTAAGTGTTTCTCTAGTTTAAAAGAAGTTCTAATTAACTATTCCTAAATCCACAGTCATGCGTTTAGTGCTACTGCAATTAAGAGGTTCGAAGGACAAGGTGGCCAATGTCCAAAATGCTGCTAGTAAAATCGAGGCAGCGGTCAAGGAGCACAAGCCCCGATTGATCACCTTGCCGGAGTGCTTCAACGCTCCCTATGGAACCAAGTACTTTAGGGAGTATTCCGAGAGCATCCCCGATGGATATACTTCTCAGCAGCTTTCGAATCTTGCTAAGAAACACCAGGTTTATATAGTGGGCGGAACAATCCCAGAGCTTGGTGAAAACGATGCCATTTATAATACCTGTACGGTTTGGTCTCCCACTGGTGACCTGATAGCTAAGCATCGTAAGATGCATCTGTTTGATATCGACGTTAAGGGTGGCATTCGTTTCAAGGAATCGGAAACCCTCTCCGCAGGTAATGACTTCACAACCATTGATATAGATGGACACAAGATTGGCATCGGCATCTGCTACGACATCCGTTTCGAGGAAATGGCCAGGCTGTATCGAAACGCTGGCTGTGAGATGATCATCTATCCAGCTGCCTTCAACATGACCACAGGACCTCTTCATTGGGAGCTCCTGCAGAGAGCCCGTGCCAACGACAACCAGCTTTTTGTGATAACCACTTCACCAGCCAGAGATACAAGCGCTGAGTATGTGGCTTATGGTCATTCCATGGTTGTGGATCCCTGGGCCAAGGTGCAACAGAGTGCCAGCGATGGAGAGGAGACCGTGGTTTCAGACATAGATTTCTCCCTGGTAGAGCAAGTGCGACAGCAGATTCCTGTTTTTGGTCAACGACGTTTGGATCTGTACGCTACGGAAAAGAAATCAAATTAAAGGATTTCAACAAAAATCTTTAAGCCTGAAGATTATTTGGCTTAAGCCACGAAAAGAAGTTATGTTTGCATTTATGTTTGTTGATTGTATATAAAATTTATGATAACTTTACAAAACTATTGAACCTATTTAGCTAATTGGTCCCGAAAAGTACCATTTAAGTTTTCGTGAGACTAATGCCAATTCTCATTGAATTTGTATGAGATAACAAACATATGTACATCATATACATATGAATGTCCATATTTAGGTTTTAGTTGATTGCGAATCTTTCTTGTGCCAAAAATTGGCAAACCTAAAGTAAAATTTAGAACCCCTTATCTCTGTAAGCCGTTAAATGGCAAATATTTTTTTGCAAGTCAAAATGTTATTAAAGACGAAACAGAAATTCATTTTTCCAACATGAAAAGAAGTAGCAACAGTAAGTGTTCCTCCGGATTTTTCAACTATATTAATATTCCTGATTCCGTAGTCATGCGATTGGCGATATTGCAACTTTGGAGTTTCAAGGACAAGATCGCCAATGTTCAAAATATCGCCAATAAAATCGAGATGGTAGTCAAAGAGCACAACCCTCGATTGATAACCTTGCCTGAGTACTTTGTTCTTCCCAAACGGAAGAACATAGAATGCGTCCCTGATGGATACATCTCCCAGCAGCTCTCGGGTCTGGCCAAGAAGCACCAAGTCTATATAATTGGCGGAACAATACCGGAATTGGGCGAAAACGATGCCATGTACAACACCTGTACGGTTTGGTCACCCACTGGTGACCTCATGGCAAAGTATCGCAAGGTGCACCTCTTTGATGTAGAGGTTAAAGGTGGCATTAGCTTCAACGAATCTGATGACATTTCCGCCGGCAATGATTTATCCATCATTAACGTAGATGGACACAAGATTGGTATCGGCATCTGCTACGACATCCGATTCGAGGAGATGGCCAGGGTATATCGCAACGCTGGCTGTGAGATGATTATCTATCCATCTGCCTTCAATATGACCACTGGCCCTCTTCATTGGGAGCTCCTTCAAAGAGCACGAGCCAACGATAACCAGCTCTTTATTGTCACTGCTTCAACAGCCAGGGATACAAGCGCCAAGTATGTGGCTTATGGTCATTCCATGGTGGTGGATCCCTGGGCCAAAGTGCTGCATAGAGCTAGCGAAAGAGAAGAAACTGTGGTGGCAGATATAGATTTCAACCTAGTGGAGCAAGTGCGACAGCAGATTCCCGTCTTTGACCAACGACGACTTGATATATACGCAACTGAAAAGAAATGAAGTAAAGGTTTAAAAATGCTCTTCAAGTCAATAAGTCGCAGCCATATTTTCGGATTCATATTTGTTGATTTTATATAAAATTTATATCTCCTAAACGCTTGTCACAGTGATTTCTTAAGACTGACGAACTATTGCTTTTTATCCGGTTGTGGATTGTCGGTGGTATCCACCTCCGAGGGAGCTGATTGCACATAGTGAGGCCGCTGGGCTTGGTCGAAAAGAGCTCGTATGGCTTCATCGGTGGCCATCAAGGGCTGACTAATGAATTCAAGGGCCTTTAGGAATATAAACAAGGTGAACAATCAATTAAATTACAATTCAAGTGATTAAATTGCCAAGAAATCAATCGGTATAATATACTTACCCTTACTGCATACTTTTCTGCCTCGCAAAGTGGGCTCGTACTGGCGCTAGACAACTTGAGGGTCTCTTCGGGAATGCCCACGCCAGAGTGCAGGACCATGCGTTGCAGAATATTTAGGTTCTCTGCACTCAGGCTGATCACATCGGTAGCGGGCAGATTTAGGAAACGGATCTTGGCCAGGAACTTCAACTGTTTGAGCATATCCAGCTGAATCTCTCGGATTTGGTGGGTAGCATGTAGCAGCTGCTTGGTGGACTCGTTCAGTAGCTGGTTCTTCTGAGTTAGATCCGCTTTCCAACGGGCTAGCTCCTCGACCATAACGCTACTGGCAAGAAACTTGGATCGCCAAACCTCACATTGCCCGGCCAGAAACTCAATCTGCTCGGTGTGGGTGGTCAGATTGTTGGCAGTGTCCAGAAGCGCTCTAGCTAATTGTAATTTGTCCTCGGTGAGGAGATTGACCCGAGTCTGTAGATCCTCACCTACGGAGGCTACTAGCAGGCTCTTTAGCTCGCTGTTGACCTGCGTTTGGAACTTGTACTGGGCTTGAAAGTAGTTTCGTTCCTCGCGCGTCTTAGCAAGTTCCTCTTGAAGAGAGATCAATTCCTGACTGCTAGCTTCGTTGTTTTGCATAAGATTCTTGGTTTCCGTGTCCAATTCCTGGGTGCGCAACGTGGACACCTGATCCACCAGTACTGCGATGTCCAGGTTGTTCTTATCTCTGTGAATTTTGTGTTTGTTCGTTGGTTCGGAGATCATGGGATTCACAGCACCCGGATAGGGCTCGAAGGGAACGAATTTGGGTGCTTTAGTCTTCTTGTGTTCGGGCAGGGTTTCTAAATTAGTTACCAATCTTGGACGCATCTGGACTAGTTCGCCCTTTGGCATTACGGGTGCTAAACTCCGGGTAACGATCTCGGGGCGTCTGTAGAGTGTATGAAGGCCCGGTAAGGGTAAATTGGAGACATGGCCACTGCTCGTTGAGGTCTTCCTGCCCATAACCGCCTCCTGAACAATAGTGCTATCCTTCCGAGACAATTGGGGCCTCTTAATTTTGGTGTCCACATCAGCATTCGCATGGATTTCACTCTCTGTTTTGGTCTTTCCTTTGTTTTCCGGCTGCTCCATACCATCGCCGCTAGTGCGACAATCTGGGGATTTTTCCACTATTGGAACCGTGCTGTCCGCCTCCATTTCTTGACAATTTTGGCCAGGCCAAACAAATTTATCTAAAATCAAGAATTTTTCTGGCTGTGCCAGCAAAACAAAAACATTGACCAAGGTATGCCAACTTGCTGCAAATCTGGGATGTGCTACATAAATAAGTACTTGGGTACAATTTTAGCTTACTTAGGTACAAGTAGAGTGTTCAAATATATATTTAAATATTTAGTTTAACAACTTTTAACTTTTTTTTTTGTTTTAAAACAAGTTTTAAGGTTTTAGGTTATTAGAGCAGCGTAAGAAAATACATATTTTAAATTTCGCACAGGGCACTTCTAGCCAGTGTGACCAGGGCAAGCAACATCAAAAATCCGCACTGCACTGCCACCTAACAGTGTTACATTGCCCACCCACGCATACGTTCATACTTTTTGATAAAGTCGATTGATTTACCGAATAAAACAAATAAATACGACGAGCGGCGACGGAAGGGTTACCTGGAACCGGCGATACGAAAAAACCGCTATCGCCGCCCTCCAACCAACCCCCGGCCACGCCACTTATCTGCCCGTGGAGCGCCGAAGGATGTCCGCTGTGGAGGCCGAGGTTCTGCAGAAAATCGATCTGATTGAGCCAACAACCGGAAAATTGTTTTTCGAGCACAAAACTGAGCTGCTTTTTTGCCGGCCACATCTGATGCCTCTGAAGACGCAGGCGCTGGAACGTCTAGAGGAAATGCATCGGGATACCGCTCGACAATTGCAGAAGAAACGCCAACAGAAGAAGTCCACCACGGAGCCCACAGGCTCGCTATGAATTAGTCCTGCTTCGAAGTCTCACAAGTCGTCATAAGCACACAATTCACTAAAAAGCACAAGAACCCAGCACTCTAGCACTTGGATTAGGATTACAATTTTTGGTAGAATGGCTTACCTACTGACCTTCGGCATTGTGGCCGCCTTATTTCTGGCCAGCATCTCATTGTATCGTTATGGAAACATTCCACGTCAGCATATCCTTGTCACCTTGTCAGTGTTGACTGCTTGGTGTTTTTCCTTCCTGATTGTATTCACCATTCCGCTGGACGTGACATCAGTGAGTATTGATATGGAGCTTAAAATCGTGAGACAGATTATATCCAAATTAGGTGTCAGCAAAACCGTTAAATCAAAATCCTGGTAAATCGTTTGGTTAGATACATTTTCGACCCATAAATATAGGGTTTGAAAGTTTTACAACAATTACGTTAAAAGATATGTAAGATAAGACTGCACATTTCTGTTATAAATTATTAAAATATCTGACTCAGAGGCTTTTAGAGAAACAGTATGAATGTTTAAAATCACGTTTTAATAATTAAACAGGATAATTTTGTATATATATTTCTGTAAAAGTACAAACAACTAATGAAATCAAAACGGATTCGTTTCTAAAGTGAGAACAGAAATTAATTAATTTTTTATCTAAAGCTTCCTAGACACCAATCAAATTGTCCACACAGTTCTGCATTGATTTTGGTCTGGAATTTCTTATCTTTTAATGATTCACCCCTGCTGAAGCTAGACCATGAAAAACCAGTATTGATTATAGGAATAAAATTTACTATGTTTTCGTGGCTTTGGAAATACTCTTTCTCATATGGCTATCAGTTCCATTATCTAAATTTTTAAGTGCAAACGAACGTAAATAACTAAATTCTATAATTGCAGACTCTTTACCGCCAGTGCGTAGCGGAGCACCGACCGCCAACACCAGCTCCTAATGCTACCAATACATCGGCCGTGACACCGTCTCAGTGCCAGGAGCCGTGGGGCATGGTACCTGCTACTGTGTTTCCCAACTTATGGCGCATTATCTACTGGAGTTCGCAGTTTCTTACCTGGTTGATCATGCCTTTGATGCAGTCATACCTCAAGGCGGGTGATTTCACCGTAAAGGGAAAACTAAAGTCTGCCCTAATCGAGAATGCTATCTACTACGGCTCCTATCTATTCATCTGCGGCATACTTCTTATCTACATAGCCGTGAAAGGAGAGTCTCTGGATTGGCAAAAGCTTAAGGCTATTGCCTCGTCGGCTTCCAACACTTGGGGTCTGTTTCTCCTCATCCTGCTGCTGGGCTATGCTCTGGTGGAGGTGCCTCGATCGCTGTGGAACAATGCCAAGCCGGGATTTGCATTGCAATACGCCTACTTCAAGGCGGCCAAACTAAGTACTGAGAAGGCGGAAGCCGAGGAGCATGTGGATGATATTCTAGAGTCGCTGCAAGGCCTAAGCCGAGTCATACCTAACAATCACGAGCTACGCCCTTGCCTAGAGACCATTCTGCGCAAAGTTCCAATTGAATTGCAGGAGCGAGCGAGCCGCAACTTTGCTCGTACTGGGGGCAGTGGCATGGGAGCCACTAGTTCCACTATCTTGCCTTCGGAGAAGGCGCTAGTTCGCATTCATAAGCAAGTAATCAAATCCCTGCAAACATTGCAGCGCACCGAAGCTCTGTGGAGCGTGCAAGTCCAGACGGTTTTACATTTGGAGGATGTGGCTAAAAACATTCATTCTTCGGAAAGACGCTTTAAGTCGGAGTTTCCACGCCAGCGCTCGCAGTTGGAGAGGATATGCTACAGCGCCACACTACAGTGGTATTGGGAGTGCCTGTTAAAGGCCCCTTTTCTGAAAACTATGTGCGTCGTTACTGCCACCATGTCAGCTATGGTGGTGTGGAGCGAGCTAACCTTTTTCAGCCGCCACCCTGTGCTTTCCATTTTCGCCAAAGTGATTTACGTGGCCAAGGAAAGCTACGACTTCTTTACTATTGAAGTCTTCTCTATGGTTGTTTTATGCTACTTCTTCTACTGTACTTATTCCACTATCTTGAGGATCCGCTTTTTGAATCTGTACTACCTTGCACCACATCACCAGACCAATGAGCACAGTTTGATATTCAGTGGCATGCTACTTTGCCGACTGACGCCACCCATGTGCCTCAACTTCCTGGGTCTAATTCATATGGATACACATATTATTCCCAATGTAAGTAGTAAACTTTCGTTTTAAGTTTTCCTTCAAACTTAACCTAAAATTCTTTTATCTTCAGCGTATTATGGAGACGGTCTATACGCAGATCATGGGCCACATGGACGTTATCGGCATAATCTCGAATGGCTTTAATATCTACTTCCCCATGTGCATGCTTGCTTTCTGCCTGGCCACCTGGTTTAGCCTGGGCAGCCGGGCCCTGAGTGCCCTTGGCTTCCAGCAGTTCCTGCAAAACGAAACAATTGCCACAGAACTAGTGCAGGAAGGAAAGGATCTGATAGCTCGTGAAAAGCGAAGGCGTCAGCGTGCCGAGGAGGCAATGGCCAGGAGGCGCGACTTCAACCGAACTGACCAGGTTCTGGGCAGCGATTACTTAAGCAAATACCGGAGTGGAGGGCCCGGTGGGTTGGCCAGCAGTCGCACGCCTGCGGACGGGCTGCTCCGCGACGGCGATGGAAGCTTTGACTATGCGGCTGTAGCCTCCTCCTCGGCATTGGGTGTACCAAGATCCTTGTCGGAGGAGATCAACGACCGGTTTGGGGTGAGCACTCAGGTGCAAGTAGGATTCAGAGACCCGGACTATGAAGCGGAGCAAGATGGGCGCATTGTGGGCCCCCCACCACGAGGTCTGTTCGACGATGTTTAAGCTCGAAATATGGATATGTCTTTATTTCGATTCATAATCGAGTATCTCAATGTCCACAATGTTCCATAGTATATTTATATCTCGTTCGCTTAAGTATTTTCCGCTGCCACTGCTGCTGCTGTTCCTTCACACTTATGTACACCATTCGATTGAATAAACGACTAGAAAGGATTCTTCTTCACCTTGCGTTGGGGATCGCGATCAGTCTTGCCAATATCCTGGCTGTCGTCAAAGCCACTATCCGAAGCATTTAGCTTGAATTCCGATTCCACCGACGTGTCCTTTGAGTAGTTCGAGAGTTCTGCATCGTTAGCAGCGGAATCATCTAGGTCAGACTTTTGGTTGTTATCGGTCTTCGTCTTCTTACTTAGTAGTGATATGGGATGCACATGGATACGTTTGCGATTGCGCAGATAGCCACATCGCGATGAAACCGGAGTTTTGGGCGAAGGCATTGTTTTGCCTTTTTTTTTTTTTTTTCACCAGTAACAAAGTTAAGGAAGCAATGTCAAAATGACTGTTGAAAATGATTGCCACCAATAAAAATTTTTTATTCGTATTTTAGAAAAGAAGGTATCCCTGTAAATCTTTAAACCTTTTCCCCCAATTGTTTCAATTCCTGTGTTCAAAAAAGAACAGCCCCAAATAATGCTTATTAAAAATAAATGTATTGTAGTTTATATGTAACATATTTATTAGTTAACCAAGAGATGGCGCGGCATTTGCAAGAGATTAACAAAGGATAAGGCTTTTGCGTGTGAATGGGTAAAATGTCAAAATCCAAATCTGAATTATGTACAATCGATTGGGCTCTTCATTGAGAATGGTGCAAACCGAAAAAAAAACAATGTATGGGTTGGCATAAGTGTTAGGTTTTGATCTTGTGGTTAAAGTAATTTTCTTATTCATCGCCGCCACCCTCTTCATCCTCATCGAATTCGCCCTCCTCGTCAGCTGTGGCCTCTTGGTACTGCTGATACTCTGAAACCAGATCGTTCATGTTGCTCTCAGCTTCTGTGAACTCCATCTCGTCCATTCCCTCTCCGGTATACCAATGCAAGAAGGCCTTTCTCCTGAACATGGCAGTGAACTGTTCCGAAACTCGTTTGAAAAGTTCCTGGATGGCTGTCGAGTTTCCAATGAATGTGGCCGACATCTTTAGACCCCGAGGAGGAATATCGCAAACCGCTGTCTTGCAATTGTTCGGGATCCATTCAACAAAGAAGCTGCTGTTCTTGTTCTGGATATTCAGCATCTGCTCATCTACCTCCTTCATGGACATACGGCCACGGAAAATGGCGGCGACTGTTAAATAACGACCATGTCGCGGATCGCAAGCCGCCATCATGTTCTTGGCATCGAACATCTGTTGCGTCAACTCTGGTACGGTCAGAGCCCTGTACTGCTGCGATCCTCGAGAGGTCAATGGTGCAAATCCAGGCATGAAGAAGTGAAGACGGGGGAAGGGTACCATGTTCACAGCCAGCTTGCGAAGATCGGCGTTAAGCTGGCCAGGGAATCGCAGGCAAGTCGTAACCCCAGACATTGTCGCTGAAACCAGATGGTTCAGGTCACCGTATGTCGGTGTGGTCAACTTCAGTGTCCGGAAGCAGATGTCATACAACGCCTCATTATCGATGCAGTACGTCTCATCCGTATTCTCCACCAACTGATGCACACTCAAGGTAGCGTTATAGGGTTCCACCACTGTATCAGACACCTTGGGCGAGGGCACCACCGAGAATGTGTTCATGATGCGGTCGGGGTACTCCTCACGAATCTTTGAGATTAACAGAGTTCCCATACCAGAGCCAGTGCCGCCACCCAGAGAGTGAGTTAACTGAAAGCCCTGAGGTATAAAAAAAAAGTAAGTAAGTAATCAATATCTATAAATCGTAGTAAAATTACCTGGAGGCAATCGCATCCCTCCGACTCCTTCCGCACCACATCCAGGACCGAGTCCACCAGCTCTGCACCTTCTGTGTAATGACCCTTAGCCCAGTTGTTGCCGGCGCCAGATTGGCCAAAGACAAAGTTATCTGGTCGGAAGATCTGTCCAAAAGCACCGGATCGCACAGAGTCCATGGTGCCAGGTTCCAGGTCCACTAGAATGGCGCGGGGCACGTACTTGGCACCAGTGGCCTCATTGTAGTAGACATTAATGCGCTCTAGCTGCAGATCACTGTCGCCATAATATGTACCGGTCGCATCAATACAATGCTCATCAGAGATAACTTCCCAGAATTTGCCGCCAATCTGGTTACCGCATTGACCGGCCTGGATGTGCACTATTTCACGCATCTTGGCAGATTGTCAAGTATTAATGGTAAAACCCGAATGTGGAACAATTTCTTTTTCACAACAAAAATGTTAAAAAAAAAACCCGAGTTGAATATACAGTTTGTGGGGTGCTAGTACCGGCGAAAAACTTAATATTTTAACGTATAATTTTTCAGATTTATATTTTAGACGTGTGCTTGCTAGCTGATACTGAGGTGAACTGAGGCCGTAAAGGGAAAGGTCTAGGAAAGTTGTTTGCAGGGCTACTAAGATCCGAGTTTTTTACTTATGTTTTCCAAAATGACAGATAGTCCAGTTGTTGGGTTTTGAGCAAAAACTTTAATAGTATTTAGTTTAACCAATATACAGCTAAAATTCGAGATGGGATGGATGAGGCGGTACCAAAGATCCAATAGAAGATTCTAAGGCTACCAGCCAGATGATACGATTGATATTGACATGGGTATTTTAGAGTTTCCTCCTTTGTAAATGTGTATATGGGTGTATAATTGAATGGGTCGATTTTTACCGAAAAACTTTTAAAACTGGTCGGAAATTAGTCTTTGAAAATTCAATAAATTTTTCACCAATTAAATGGCTTTTTGTGGAAAATCTGTTTAAATATAATCGACCCATTCTTGTGTAAACTTCTACGTAGGGAAGGTTTGTCTAACAAACAAGTTTTTTGTGTTGGCGGCGGTTGGGTCTCTACAGGATTGTAACTATAATTTGGCGTTTCTTAGGCTCTGGCTCCTACATGGAGGAGTCCCACAGCTGGCTGTACGGATATCAGACGGAGGCACGCTTCAGACAAAGAGTGCTCTCAATAATATCCGTAGGCTGAAAGTCCGGATCCACAAACTGCTCATGATTAAGGCACCTTGTGCCGCCCATACAAGTGCAGGAACATAGCGATGCGGTCTCATCGTTTTCGGTTGTATAGTTATTCTCTAGCAATTTACCATGCATATTGTATGTGGACTCATCATCAAAGGTCACAGGCTTGGCATTTCCGGCCAGGTTCTGTGCATCCTGCTCATCTCTTTTGGCATCCTCCGCTTGCCTGTGGTTAAAAGTCCAGTAAACTCAAACTTTATCCACAAAATAAATACTCACATGGTCATGAAGCGCAGCACCAGAAGATTTATACTGGCGGCCACCACTGCCAAACCGAAAAGGATGAAAACCAAGCTGAGTGCCACATAGCCCGGCTTGTTTGTTAAAGCCTGATCATTCTGCAATGCCACATAATCACCAAAACCAATTGTGGTCAAGGTGACAAAGCAGTAGTAGAAGCTATCAAAGTAGCTCCATCCCTCGTATCGGGAAAAAACGGCAGCTCCTGTGGTAATAATTATCGAGGACAGCATCCCGGTGGCCAACATAAGATTCATCTCGGTGGCATCCGTACAACGGGCTCCACTGGCTCTCTTTGCCCGCCGTATAATAACCGATGCAAATTTATTCAGTCGTTCACCTATGGACTGGAACATAACCAGTCCCAGTGGGATGCCTACCTAAAAAGTCAATTATTTATTAGATAAGAACTAAGGATAATCTATTAATTTACCATTGCATAACCCATACAAAATGCCTTTCCCGGAATGGTGACTGGTGTGGAGTGTCCATATCCTAAAACAATTAATTTTATGAGAGAATTTTTTAGGTAAATTAAGATTTATAATAATAAAAATTACCTATCATGGCCAAAACAACTGTGCTAAAATAAAAAGCTCCAGCAAACTTCCATTGCGGACCTGCCTTGTGTGGTTTGTTTTCAATAATGACAATCTCCATCACCCGGAAATCCTCGTCGCTAACATTGTACTTCTTCACAAAGTTGTTTTTAACGGCTAAAATAAATGGTATATTAAGTTGTAGTAATGATTAAAAATGAGAATGCGTTCTTACCCTGTAAAAACTCCCATCTTTTGGCCTCCGTTGGGGATTCCAGTGAATCGAAGACTGCAGCTCCAATTAAAAGGTACGTAAAAGTGCATACCACTAAAGAAAGTGTTCGCACATTCTGACGCTTCATTGTTAAGATGCCGTTTTATAATAATTCCCAACAATTATTATTTAAGGTTTTAAGTAGAGTATGTCTGGCAGGAGTATGTCGTTATAGTGGCGCCCTTTTTGTTCGAGGGAAGCTGCAAGGCCTGATAAAATCAATAGACAGCAGGAAAACAAATACACAGCATCCACACAAATTTGACAACCCGCTTAAAGCGGCTCAGTAACAAATTCAATGACTTTTTAATAAAGTTTAATTCAGTTTACAACCTTTTTATTTTTTAATAGCAGATTTTAAACGCCAAAAGAACCAAGTCCTTTTAACCAATTTCATTTAATAATATTACCGTTATTGTAGAATAACAGAAGCAACAGAGTTTAATGGGGCTGCCACTCGGTTATCTCTGTTAGATAACAGTAACGTCCTGTAAAGAAACTCAAATTTTCTCGGTTTTTAAGCTATAAATTAGCCAAAACAAGGCCTAGAGTTAAGTCAAAGACTGTTTTGTGCAGCTTTCGATCGAAACATAAACTTGTTTGGCCTAATTAGGATTTTTTTTGCAAATTTTCGAATTGTGTTTAATATTTGCATTAATCTTGTTCAGAGTTTAAATTGAAATTTAGAATATATTTATATGTACATTTATGTGTAAATAATAAATATATATTATGTTTTAATATTTTCAATAATATATAATTTTTAACACAAAATAACTTATATATTAATAAATTTTTATATTTTTTTTTTTTTGTCGTAGAATATTTACAACACGAGGAGTTGGCAGCGCCGATAACTCAAGAAACAATCGATATTAGCAAAGCTGAAACATATCGGCAGCTCCAATTTGTTTATGCGAAAAAACCACGCAAGTACAAGCTATTGGTTATTGCAGTTGGCAGGTGTGTCCGTGCTGTCGGCGATTCCATGATTAATTAACCGGAAAATGTTACGAATACGTCGACGCTTCGCTTTGGTGATTTGCTCCGGGTGCCTGTTAGTTTTCCTCAGCCTGTACGTTATCCTCAACTTTGCGGCGCCGGCAGCCAACCAAAAAAAGGTATATGATTATCCAGCAACTCCAGTGTATAATAAACTCCTCGGATTTTTTTAGCCAAACTATGAAAACATTGAAAACAAGCTGCAGCAGCTGGAAAATGGACTGCAGGAGCACGGCGAGGAGATGCGGAACCTAAGGGCACGGCTAACTAAAACAGCGAACCGTGAGGATCCCATAAAGGCTCCCGCTAAAGTGCCTCGTTCTCCGAAGCCGGAACAATGCCAGGATGTGGTTCAGGATGTGCCCAGTGTGGAGGTACAGATGCTGGAGCTCTACGACCGGATGTCTTTTAAGGACATAGATGGAGGCGTGTGGAAACAGGGCTGGAATATCAAATATGATCCACTCAAGTACAACGCCCATCACAAACTGAAAGTCTTCGTAGTGCCCCATTCGCACAATGATCCTGGATGGATCCAGACTTTCGAGGACTACTACCAGCATGACACCAAGCATATTCTATCAAATGCGCTAAGGCATCTACACGAAAATCCCGAGATGAAGTTCATTTGGGCGGAAATCTCTTATTTTTCCCGATTTTACCACGATCTAGGCGAGAACAAAAAACTTCAGATGAAGTCGTAAGTACCCGTTTCAGATTTAATACAGTAGAATATATTGATACAGAAGCTTAATGTCAACAGTTTACCCATTAACTAAATGCTATTGTTTTGCGTAAACTTTAAACACCTGTTATGTTGAACAATGAAATATTTTACAAGGTGGCTACTTATTTGTTCAGATAATGCGAAAACACGAGTTGCTTGTTTAGTCATTGTTATTTTAAAGGTTGTAATGTATCGTAGTTCAGCTAAAGTTTAGCTCTGACATACGTGATATTGTCTGAGACGGAAAAGAGGCGGTCTTTATGAACCTTTTAATCTCTTAAAAAAACAACTGATAAGCATTTCGAAAAATGTATTGCTTATATTATTTTTGCACATTCGCATAATGTCTTAAGAACACTTAATCTTATTATAGAAATGTACAAATATACTTATAAATCCTTCGTCATTTCAGCATTGTAAAGAATGGACAATTGGAATTTGTATCTGGAGGATGGGTGATGCCGGACGAAGCCAATTCCCACTGGAGAAACGTGTTGCTGCAACTGACCGAGGGCCAGACTTGGCTAAAGCAATACCTAAATGTTACCCCCACAGCATCCTGGGCCATCGATCCTTTTGGTCACAGTCCTACAATGCCTTACATCCTGCAAAAAAGTGGCTTTAAGAATATGCTCATCCAGCGAACACACTATTCGGTAAAGAAGGAGTTGGCCCAACAGCGTCAGCTTGAATTCCATTGGCGCCAGATCTGGGATTCGAAAGGGGACACGGCCCTTTTCACGCACATGATGCCCTTCTACTCATACGATATTCCCCACACTTGTGGTCCAGATCCTAAGGTGTGCTGTCAGTTTGATTTCAAGCGGATGGGAGCTTTTGGATTAAGCTGTCCCTGGAAAGTACCCCCCCGAGCCATCGTGGACGGAAATGTTGCCATGCGTTCAGAATTGCTGGTCGATCAGTGGAAAAAAAAGGCCGAGCTTTATCGTACGAACGTTTTGCTTATTCCCTTGGGCGACGACTTCCGCTTCAAGCAGAATACCGAATGGGATGTACAGCGAGTAAACTACGAAAGGCTGTTCGAGCACATTAACAGCCAGGCCCACTTCAATGTGCAAGCGCAGTTCGGCACTCTGCAAGAATATTTTGATGCTGTGCATCAAGCAGAAAAAGTAGGACAAACCGAGTTCCCAACGCTCAGCGGAGACTTCTTTACATATGCCGATCGGTCGGATAACTATTGGAGTGGCTATTACACTTCCAGGCCCTATCACAAGCGCATGGATCGAGTGCTGATGCACTACGTCCGCTCCGCAGAGATGCTCTCCGCCTGGCACTCCTGGGATGGAATGGCCCGCATCGAGGAACGCCTGGAGCAGGCCCGCAGAGAATTGTCTCTGTTTCAGCATCACGACGGCATCACTGGCACCGCCAAGACGCATGTGGTTCTTGACTACGAGCAACGCATGCTCGAGGCTCTGAAAGCCTGTCAAATGGTGATGCAACAGTCGGTCTACCGTCTGCTAACCAAACCCTCAATCTATAGTCCGGACTTTAGTTTTTCATACTTCACACTGGACGATTCACGTTGGCCAGGATCAGGTGTAGAGGATAGTCGAACTACCATTATATTGGGTGAGGATATACTGCCATCCAAACATGTAGTAATGCATAATACTCTGCCGCACTGGCGAGAGCAGCTCGTTGACTTCTATGTGTCCAGTCCATTCGTGAGTGTTAGTGATTTAGCAAATAATCCAATCGAGGCTCAAGTTTCACCTGTGTGGAGCTGGCATCATGACACGCTTACCAAGACTATCCATCCACAAGGATCCACAACAAAGTATCGCATCATCTTTAAAGCTCGGGTGCCGCCCATGGGCCTGGCCACCTACATATTGACCATTTCTGAGTCTAAACCAGAGTAGGTGTAATTTTTATTGTTTTTTATTCTCAAAACTAATAATCTTCTCTCACCCATAGGCACACTTCGTACGCATCGAATCTCTTACTTAGAACAGTTCCCGTTTCTGTGCCCTTGGGTCAATATCCGGAAGATGTGAAGTTTGGTGAGCCTCGGGAGATCTCATTGCGGGTTGGCAATGGCCCCACACTAGCATTCTCAGAGCAGGGCCTTCTCAAGTCCATCCAGCTCACCCAAGATAGTCCGCACGTGCCTGTGCATTTGAAGTTCCTAAAGTATGGCGTTCGATCACATGGAGATAGATCCGGTGCATATCTGTTCCTGCCCAACGGCCCGGCTACGCCAATCCAAATTAATCATCCAGTGGTCCTGGTGACCAAAGGCAAATTAGAGTCCTCGGTAAGCGTGGGCCTTCCGAGTGTGGTTCATCAGACAATAATGCGAGGCGGTGCACCTGAGATTCGCAATCTGGTTGACATAGGCGTGCTGGATAACACAGAGATTGTCATGCGCTTAGAGTCTCATATCGACAGTGGAGACATTTTCTACACGGATCTCAACGGACTGCAATTCATCAAGCGACGGCGTCTAGAGAAGCTCCCTTTGCAGGCCAACTATTACCCGGTGCCCTCTGGCATGCTCATCGAAGATGCCAATATGCGACTCACTCTCCTCACAGGTCAACCGCTTGGTGGATCTTCCTTGGCTTCTGGTGAGCTGGAGATAATGCAGGATCGCCGCCTGGCCAGCGACGACGAACGCGGCTTGGGACAAGGTGTATTGGACAACAAGCCAGTTCTGCATATATATCGTTTGGTTCTGGAGAAAATTAACAGCTGTACGCGACCATCGGAGGTACATCCTGCTGGCTACTTGACCAGTGCCGCCCACAAAGCCTCACAGTCACTGCTGGACCCACTGGACAAGTTCATATTCGCTGAAAATGAATGGGTTGGTGCCCAGGGGCAGTTTGGCGGCAATCATCCATCAGCCCGTGAGGATCTGGATGTACCCGTGATGCGACGCTTGACCAAGAGTTCGGCCAAGACGCAGCGGGTGGGCTACGTCCTGCACCGCACCAATCTGTTGCAATGCGACACCCCAGAAGAACGGGCACAGAAGGTAAGATATGTACCTGTGTAATTTCATTAATCCTGTAATTTCTTATGCATGGTAACAAAAACTATTACTAAAACACAAATTTCCATTATATCTTTATCTCTCAGTTGGATGTGTGCCACTTACTGCCGAATGTGGCAAGGTGCGAGCGTACGACACTCACCTTCCTGCAAAATCTGGAGCAAATGGAAGGCATGGTGGCGCCGGAAGTGTGCCCCATGGAAACAATGGCTTATGTGAGCAGTCACACTAGCTGATCGCCACGTGTCCTTCCCAAGGATGAAATAGACACGGAGGGAAGGCGCCACATGGACAACCTATGAATCTCGATACTGCAATACAGGCAATCTTCATTTTATGATCAACTAAAGAAACACTGATGACTGCACCGAAAGACGTAATGCGTAATCTCCATACTACGTATCATTTATTTATTCAAGCTTCCTCACGTGGGTTGGAAATTCAATCCTATGACGCAGCGGTGTGTTTTTGCACCCCCTTGTAACACACACACGTTTTAATTTGTTTCCCCTAGTTTTTTACGTTTTTTGTGATATCCCTACAGTCCCACAGCAAGCAATGTCTTCGATATCCCTACAGGGATATTGCCTAAAAACCATGAATCGTAACTATAACGTTTAACTGTAATTTAGGCTTAGTGATAATGACGAAACTGCAATGATATTAATCTCGACATTTGTTTTTTTACGATTTGAATAAATTGAGTCTCATTTTAGAATCGACTTTTAAGTGCTATTCTAAACTAAAAATATAAAAAAAAAACAGTTTTTTATTGGGTATTAAAATCTTGAATTAGTATTTAAAAACGAAAATCTATATCTTAAATATGATTGGCTGGGAAGTTTGGGCTTAATTTTAAAAGAAAACAAAGATTAAAAATGTTTGTTAGTTGGTTTTCCATTTTTAAAATTTTTAATTTAAAGTATTTTTTTAATTAGGCAATTTAGTAATTTACATATCACTTATTGTTTAATTTTTTGTTAATTTTTTATTATGAAACAGATTTTATAGAAAAGTTAATTACAGTCATAATCAAGAGTTATAGCTATAGTTTTAGTGGTTGAAAAACAGAGTGCAATCTTATCAGCGCCAGTGCGGTACTGTTATTGCCAGAATGACCTACAGAGATACTGAGAGTGAAGAGAGGAGAAGAGGCCAGTTGGAAAATGCACAGTGGAAATGGAAATCCAGATTGAATCCGAATTGAGCAAAGTGGTTGTTCGGGAGAGTATCTCTGCGCAGCTTGTTCTCTGCCTCTCTCCCTTGAAAACCGAACGAAAGTAACGAAAGCAAAACCGAATTGTATCTGTGAGATACTCTCGCACGGGCTCTCTTTGTCGGGCGCGCTCTCTCTCTCTAGTTCTCTCTGTCGCTCTTTAACGACCATCGGAATTTTCTGTACAGAAACCGAAAATCTCAGCCAGTTCGCTGTTTTCAAGTTTCGAGTCCGCAGTTCAGTTCAGTTGGATTCAGATACAGAGTCAGAGCGTCAGATTCAGATCTTCGTGGTCGCCAGTGAGTTTGTTTATATGTTTGTTGCTGCCCAGCCTGTGTGTTTGCTAGTCAAGTTCTGCAACAGAAACAGGGCATCTAAACAAAAGTGGTACAAAACAATTAAGAAGATTAAAAACCAACTCAATAAAAATAGAAAATAAACATAGTGTTCGTTTAAATCGCAAAGTAACTGAAGCTCTTGTTGTTGTTGTTGTTGTTGTTTAAGGCGGACTGGAATTTAATTAAATTAAATCAAGTACGAATGTGTGGGTGTGTATGTGTTTGTGTTTTGGTGTGTCTAAGCTGCGTTCTTGAGTTGTTCTTGTTCTAAGTTCTTTTTTCGTGGCGTGTATCTGTGTGCGCGTGTTCGTGTGCTGGTGTGTGCGTGTGCTTTTTGTGAACTACGTTTTGTTTCAATGCCAAAAAGTATCTATGCCCTGGCATGTGCGCTCTCTCCGTCTCCCTCTCTCTTTCGCTCGCTCATGCTGGTTACATAAATACTGGTAGAAGCAGTGGTGTAGGAGGAGGAGGGGCCGAAGGTGGAGGAGGCAACAGAAATTGAAATACAAATTCAATTAACACCTGAAAACGAAAAGCCAACTGGAACACATGCGTCTGATTGGATAAGGAATTGGGGAAACAGGCTAACATGTGTTTGATTTTCCAACTTATCTTCGTATCCTTATGCCTTTAAAATGTTATAAGCAAAGTTCCTTGAAAGAGAAGAGGGAATAAAGGAATGTAGAAGAAGAGCACGAGAACCAGAACGAGAACACACAAAAAAAAACGAAATTAACGACGTCACATAAAAGTGTGTCAAAGCAGCAGCTCACGCACACTACATTCCTTCCAATTTGTATCTGTGTGAAGCTTTGGCTCTCTTTCCCTCTCAATGTTTCTGCCTCTCTTTCGCTGATAAAACGCAACGCACACAGCGCGTATACATAATTTATATATTTATTTAAATGTTTTTCGTTTGCGTGGTTTGAACAACGAGTTTTTCTCGTTATTCTAAGGCTGTCCCCCTTTATGTCTCTCCGTCTTTCTCATACTCGTATTTGTTGCTCTTTTCCAACATATGGCATTGCTCAATTATTATGTCATAAACATTTTGAATGGCAAATATATGTGATAGAAGTTCAATTCGTTCAAGGCAATATTATTTTTCAAGCTTTTTGGCGCAGGAAATGCAAAAGTTGTGTCTGTGTGCAGGAACGTGCAGCAATTTTCCAACGTTTGCATGAAAAACCTAGTGCCCTAATAAGCCAAACGAGAGAGAAAAGCCCAGCGAAAGAGAGAGAGAGAGAGAGAGAGAGGAGTGGGAGCAGAGAGAGCTTCAAACTAAAAGAGAGAAACAGTTTTCCCGCACTCGATTTAAAAATCAATGTAGAAAATGCGCGCAAAGCGGACAAAGAAACACACACGACACGCACACACACACACTCATAATGTTCATATGTTAGATAGAAATGTGATCGGACGGGCACGTGTACGTGGCACACAGATACAAAAGAGCGGGAGAGCGGAGCAATCGGGAAAAGAGAGCTTCGGAGAGCTTCGTCACACTTCCATTTTGTTCAGATGCTCAAAGCAAACTCGATGTTAGAATCAAAAAAAGCACGCTAAGAAGCACGTCTGAACGGAAAAACGGATAAGGCAAAGGCGGATGAAGCAGCGCAAAAGGAAGGCGTAAGCAGGCGCTATAAATTAACAAAAAAATAAAAATAAATTTACATATAAAAAAAACTTTGCGCTTAGCTTCGAAATTCGCGGAAGTAATAATCTAATCAGAGTGTGCCTGTGTGTATTTGTTTAAAAAACCCAAGCAGCAGCAGCAGCAACAACAGCAACAACAACAGCAAAAGCAGCAGAACAACAAAAAGTAAAGAAACCCGTTATAAATAAAAAACCCCTAATCAAATTCAGGATCCACTACAACAACAACAACAAAAACCACTGTCGCGTCTCCAAATGAAACAATAATTGAATAATTGAATTATCCAATAACGAAATTAAAGAAATCAACGACGAGTATAAAAAGTTGAAAAACAAAACAAATAAGTAAGCCAGTCGAGGAGATATATAGCCGCAAAATCAGCGTTTAAAATACCATATATAGTTGTTCTTATCTATACCCACACTCAATTAATTGCAGCTGAATGCACGACTCCTTGCAGAAAGGTGAATATATTTCAAAACTAGTCATAAGACCTTGGATTAAGCATAGTTTAGCATAAGGCAGGGACTGTCCTTGGGTACGACTTGTGGTTCTCTACGTGTTCAAAAACGGACTTTAGAAAAGAAAACTTTGAAATTTTAAACAATTTTCATATTCTACAGTTATAGTCTTTGAAATACAGATGGAATATTCAGTAACTTTAATATTTTTGGTTTTTATAAAAGTTATATAATAATTTTTTCTATTTATTGGACTTCTTTATTTATACTTTAATTTTTATTGCAATTTCTCCTGTTATTTCTTTATTAAGTACTTCTGTTGACTCATTGAAAAATTCCATTTATATAAGTCTTTGTTTTTTTTGAGTCATGATTGCCAGATATTTTTTAATTTACTTGCTTAAATCTACTTCATTTCGTTGAAACAAAATTCGACCTTTTGGAAGTTTTAGTTGCAGAAGTTCGACTGTATTTAAAGTTTTCCCATTTTGCGCAACCAAATGAAATAGCTTTCGAACATATTTACGAGTACTGGTAATGGGAATGCCTATATTCATACATGGTATGAATATGTACTACTGATTGCCCGATCTCTCTCTGTCTCTATCTCTATCTATATCTCTCGTTCGTACTCTCCATCTGGCATGCTAATCAAAGTCGTAGCTCATCTCCACCATCCCGCCCCCCGCCATCCGCCTTCCGCCCTTTGCGTTTATCTGCTCATCAATTTGCTCGTTTCATAGCCTAACCCGACACTTGATTCTAGTTTTTTTCCCCCAGCTGCTGTTAAATGCAAATAGGCATTAAATTGTCCGCTTGTCTGTCGTTTCGTTTCATTTGCATTCACACCGTCGACCTCCCCACAAGCTTTCGTCCCGCCCCCGTTGCGCAATTTGGTGGGGCAGCTCGTATGTGGGTTAAACTGCTGCCGCGGCTGCTGTTGCTGCACCACTGGCAAAATTACAGAAAACAGAAACAGCAAAAAGGAGGTGGAGATGGCAAAGGAGGTGCATAGTGCACAGAGAGAAATAATAGTAGAAAGATAAAATGTCATATTCAACATCTAATTGATCATGATCAGCTGATTTCTGCTGATGGCGCAGAGTGGCCGCTGCTTGCCTGACAATAAGGTCACTCTGAGTAAGCTTTTTCAATAATGAGAATGTAACTTCTTCCTTAACCCTCTTATATTTTGTGACTTCTGATTTTTTAAGAATACAAAACAAAAACCAAAAACACTAGAGATTGTCGTAGTTCTTAGAATCAGAAGAAAGCAAGTTACATTATTGATCTTCCAATATCAGGTCCATTGTGACCCCGTTTTTTTTCGGTGCAAAAGTTGCAGGGGGACAAAATAACTGGGAAAAATTAACCCAAAACGAAACGAGAAAAGGTTTATGTAAACAAGCACACACACTGGCCTACACACACACACACTCAGAGACACACACTTACATATACAGCCGCACAGGGCCGTGTTCATGCAAAAGGCACGAAACTGCTGTTAACCTATTTGCCGTAATGGTTACGGCGGTGATTTCGACCCGGAGACTCTCTCGGCTCGGCTAATAAGCCGAGAGTCCGAGCCCCATTTTCGAGTCGAGTCGATTAAGGGCCCCCACCGAACAAAACCAAAGTGCAAAACTGCAAACTTGGCGGTAAACTAAAGTGCTTGATGTTCTAGGGAAAATTACAATAAAGCCTGCCGAAATTGCTTCGCTGAAAATCACTTGAAGATCAGAAACCGCGACGTAGTAATTTCTAAGGGTTGAAAATCGTTCATGCCACAACTTTTCCATATGGGAAGCTGGAAAACGGGAACTAACTGCGTGTAGAGTTTCTATTACTTCAGGGTGTCCTATTATCATATTCCCCCCATTGTGTCGTACTTGTACAGTCTGCTACATAGCAATAGTTCCGGTTAGACAGCATTTTAAATCGTAAGTAGCTTAAAAATTGCCAATATAAAATTTATTTTTAGACAGCTATTTCCTTTTCTTTTTTGTATCTTTTTTATTCTCGCTAACAAAGAGTAATGATTACCAGTTATTTTAATGACAAAAAATTCCATTTCTTCCGAAACTTGTATTTGCTTTTTTCAACTTGTATTTTTTAATATCTCCTTTTTATAATACTTTTGATTAATTGAGGCTTAATTGACCGTCATACGTGGGTCGAGTTGCAGTTTTTTTTATTTGTTTTTTTTTTAGATTCAAGTTTTTCTTATTAGCAGAATATCTTAAGGGCTCCAATCATTCCCCATATTAATCAGCTAATGGGGTCAGACCTGTTGTTTAGCCTTTTATAATCTCTAATCCATTGGAAAACCCCCTCCTAATTTCTCGACCTTGCCATGCCATGTCCATACATATTCAACGAATTTTTAATTGCCTGGCAGGCTATCGACTAGTCGGTAATTGCCGTCTCAGTTAATTGGCTGCATCAATTGAAAGCTATTGGAGGTAAAGCCTCAGTAGAAACAACTACAAAAACAAACGGCCAACGGCAATTACAATTTACCCATCCATCGACTTTGACGCCGTTCAAGTTCACAGCGCGTCATCGAATGAAATCAAAAAAAAAAAAAAAAAGCAACAATATAAAAAAGAGCTGCCATAACAAATTACTTGCATTTGTAATTATGGAAAAAAATAAACAAGTATTTTTACTCCGGCTTCTTCAATTGAATTACAGTTGTTAATGAAAAGTCTCTGCCCGAGTGACGTAACAACTTCTCAGCAAAGAAAATAAGAAAAGCAAACAAAAAAACAGAAACAAAAAACAGAAGCAAACCATCAGCAATAAGTGAAAACAAAGGAGGGCTAAGCAATAACAATAAGCAATAATCTAGAGAAATTTTATGCCAAAGCAAAATACATAATAGCCATAATAAGAATTCAACGAAAGAGAGGCAAATAGGGCGCAGAAAGAGACGGCAAATGGCCAATGTAGGTCTGGCAATTCATTTTGCAGGTGAGGATACAGCAAAACGATGTGCATTCCGCTGCTAGCGGAACCATGTTGTCGCCAGGGATGCGTAGTATCTAGGCTGTCGTGTTGTAAGTTTATTTATTTAGCTAGAAAATTGTATTATTCTATATAATATTTTACCTCTAAATAAAGAACTTCCTGTCAGTTCTAATAATTTATTAATATGCCAGCTAATAGACTGTAATGTGAAAATCCTTCAAAAATCAGAAAAAGTTGAAGAATTTACTTAACTTCTTTTCTTTTTACTAAATCACTCTTAGATATTAAACATTATACCTTTCCCATCACTGGTTCTCTTGCATTTTGTTGCACTGTTGTAGCTGCAACATATGCACAAATAGGTTTAAAGGGTTGGTAAAGGGCCGGAAAAGCCAAAGGGGAGAAAACTGGGTGGATGGCTTGCGAATGAATTACATTGTCGCCTGCCAGCATCGATTCTGGCTAAATTGGGACGCTGTTTGTCGCCGTCTCTTCTCTCTCTTTCTCTCTCTCTCTCTCTCTCTTTCTCTTTCTATAGCTATCTCTTTCTGGCCATTCTGGCTGCCAAAAGAGCTTCTGGCTTTCTTCTGCCTTAGCTGCAAACTGAAAAAAAAACCGTTGTTGGCCTGGCCAAGTGCAGTGCAGAAGTACAAAAACTGTCGCCTGGCTCGTCGACAACTGGGGCAATTTTTAATTAAAATGCCAAAAATAAAGACCAACAACAAATATTTGTTTCATTGTCAGCTAGGGTTGTCAAGTAATTTGATTTAATATTTCTCTTTGACTGGTGCCATATTGAAAATGAAAAGTAATCACAGATGGTTGTTCTTCTTGTTTGTCGGAAAAACGCTGGCCACAAGTTGACTCGAGGCCAAGAAACAAGATCTTCTATATATAGGTTATGGTACCTAAACTAAAATTGTCATTTTAAAAGCAATTTGTAATTGGAAAGTGATGAAATATAGCCTTCATTAATTTCTTGCAATGTTTTTGTGTTTTTAAAGAAAAATTAGAAAAAAATGAAATTCTTTCATTTTACATCATCCAATCGTATTCCAAACCCTTTCCTAACATTTCTCCCTTTGAGGCATTAATTATTTCAAGATTTTCCGATTTTCCAATTTTACCTAAAGTGGTTTATTAGATGGGGAAAAACCATTGACACGTTTATGGCAGCTATCCAGGCAAGCGTAACACCAGGTCAGAACACTTGAGCATGCCTGAGGAGGGCCTGGTGGGGTGGTGGAATTCCTTTGGATGGAACGGCAAAGGGGATTTGAGAATCCGCCCATCGACCTGCTCACTTGTTTACTTCGACTTGCCATAAGTTCTTTGTGTTTGACTTAGTCTCTTGTTGTCGTTGTTGTTGTTGTTATTGCTGCTCTGCTGTCGTGTTGCCATTTGACTGCCTTCGCCTTTATTTATGGATAATTCATAGACGCACCTTGGCTGAGGCACCTGCAAACACGAATTCGATTTGATTGGAATCGTTGCTGCCAGCCCAGCCCAGCCCCCTTTCGACCGACGAGCGACCGACCTAGCGACATAGTTTCGCAGTTTGGCTTCGCTGCCCCCAAGTAATTTACATATAGACCCACACAGATACCCATACAACAGCTGCATGTCTGTTGTTGCTGCCACTGCTACTGCTACTGCTGCTGTCTCTTGGCCTAATTGTGAGCTTTTGATTTTGTTTTCATGGGAAGCCCCGGCATTCGGCGTCCATGTCGTCTCTCTGCGGATTTCGCTTGGCTCAGCATTGGGGCTCTTTGCCCGTTGCATATTTTCCCTACCTTGGTTGGAAATATGTGTGTGCTCCTCTTTTTTTTTTCTCTCCAATATATATGTCTATGTATTGGTGTAGCATAGGGCCATAGCCGTCCATAGCTGTTGTATTTATATTTGGCCATATTACGTTGCTTAACCTTCACCCATTTATGCCACGAAAACATCACAGAAAACGCGAGAGAAGAGAAAAAAAAGGTGAAAGAAGAAGTCACGGGGGGAAAAGCGCAGCATTTTTGGAGTGTTCG